CCTTATATAAAATCTTCCTGAGAAACCTGCACATAAAAGCTAAGCATCAGAAGTCTGATTTACTTGTGCTAAATAAAAATATTTATGGGTGCCAGCTGAATTGTCTCAGTGAAAGCTTTTTCACCATCCTGCCTTCTTGAAACAAGCACTGGAATTCAGTTCACAACCCTGATATCCCTGTTTTGAAATGCTAGACTGGGGATGGTACTTTATATAAGCCCTGAGTCAGATTGTCTGTAGTAACCATTTCTGTTAATAAACCTGCAGCAGGAATATACAAGTCAACTGTGCAAATGAGCAGGACATACCTGGAACATGAGAGATGTTTTTCACAGCAGATGGAATCTATTTGTAACTGACTAGGCTCGTTGTGGGTCATAAAAGTCATGTAGGAACATCTAGGAAGAAGAGAACAGCTGAATTTGTAGTTTTCCTTTTTACCTGATTGCAAGCAATTTACATTAATATTGCACTTTTGAATCAAACAGAATTCAAAGAAATGACAAACCTTCTCTACCTGATTGTATGACTGTAAAAGCTGTGAATAATGGTGGCATATGATACTTGAGGACAGCAAGTAGAGAACACTTACTACAGCTGAAACTGCAGGGGTGATGCTGGGATTCAAACTAAATTCACCTATTTGGAGTTTGGCTGGGACTTTGGGATTCACACCTTAGAATCTGGATGGGACTTTTAATTATTACAGGTGGTTAGACCAATTTTCTCATCCAAGAAACTGAACATGCAATAGCTCCATTCCCTTTCTTCATCCCACAGCCAGGGAGTCTGATTGCTTGCTGGACAAGGGAAAGCAAGTGAATCCCCCTAATTTGCTTAATAACACTTTTTTCCCCAGAGATCTTTCATGCTATACTTTCTATCCTAACCCTCCTTACTTTCCTTACTGTTTGGGTTTTTTGTTACTGTGACCATAAGAGTTCCTGAGCTTCTTTTGTTAAGATCCCTGTGTCCCACCAATGAAAATCAACTGTGTCACTCAGGACAGAGGAAAAATGTCAGGCTTGTTGAGTTTTTATTTATTTCACTGTAGTATCAGTTTTGATTTGTAACAGTGTATTTTATTTCTTATTTGTGGCTTCATCAGCCATTGGTACTAGAAAACCAAGAACAGGCCTTCCCAGAACACTTCCTCAGAAACAGGTTCAAGATGAGAGTAAACCTGGGAGAAATACAGGTTTGGTAAGTGGAACCTTAGGGCTGTAATGGTAACATTCAGACTGCTGATCAAAACCAGCCTTTACCCCTTTTTTCCACTGCTTAAAAATCACTGAAGTTTACTGCTGAAGCTGAAATTTCCCAGGTTTGTTCAAAGGTAAAATAAGTCTGGGGTTTTTTTTGTTGTTGTTCTCAGATGTTTTTCACATTAAAAAACTTAAAAATGGTTCAATGGTTCAGCCATTTTTATGATTTTTTTTTCCCCACAACAGAACATGTAGAAACTATTCCCACTTCAGCAGGAGTGTTTGCTATCGCGTCCTGGATAGCACCACAGCCAAACCACCATGGGGTTAAAATTTTTATATTTAGCATAGAAACATCTAGCTGAAAAATGCCTTTGAGTGCTCCAATGGAATCTGAGTTTGACTTGACCGAATTTTGACCCCGAGGAAATTCCACTCATAAGCACAATCCATTCTGTGTGGTTGTTCTCCACTGGGCTCAGAGCATGCATGGAGGAGGAAGGCAAGGTTAATGTGTGTGTGTGCTCAGCTGATGTCCTTATCCCAGCACAGAGTCTTTAGGGACCTCAGAAATGCCCTGGGGGATCAGTGCTGAGGGGGATGGTGCTTCTCACACATCTCTGGCTGAATAGTCCTTCCAGTCTTAGGGCCCTCCCGTGTCCTGAAGAATAACCTAAATGCCTAATGAGGTTAAGGAAAGTTCTTGAGCAATTTGGAGTGGTCCAACACCCTGTGCCTCATTGGCCAGGGTCAGAATTGGGTGTGGTGAGGGTACCTAGGGTCACACAGAGCCCAGTCATCAGCAGGGCCGTGGTGTTGTGGCAAGTCCAAGGCCAAGTTAAGGAGTCAGTCTTCAGGGTGCAGATCATGTGTGTCCGTGGCCATATAAAGGGGAAAGCTGTGGCAGGGCTGGAGACCAGCACTCTGACAGTGTTGCTGGAACAGGGATTGGTGGGTCCAGGCTGGGGAGAGAGCCTGGGGAGCCTTAATGTCTGGAAATACTGAAGAGCTGCCTGGAAAAGGCCCAGATTAACTTTACCTGCCTCTGAAAATGGCTTCTTTGAGCAGGGAGTTGGAGGAGACACCTCCAGCCTTCCCTCCCAGTCTAGATTAGTCTGATTCTACAAAGCCTGCTGATTTTACTCTCCTGTTGCCAGTGGATGCAGAGTATCCTGTGAATGTTACTCACTCAGGCTGTACGCTGTGTGTGACAGAAGACAAAGCAGAGATGCACCCAGGAGAGGTGACGTCCTCCTTACGGAGCAGCAGGACTGAGTGCTGCAAACTCTCACACACACTCCATGTTCCACCCAGAGCAGCCAGAGCAGTGCTCAGGAAAACAGAGCTAAGCACATGTGCCTGTGCTTAGAGGACCACCATGTCAGGGAATATTTGCTGGCATTTAGAGTCTGTTCAGGCTCCAAGGGAAGTCAGGGCAAGGCGAGCTCTCCATTTGACTGCCTCGGGTCTGACCTGCCCTAAAGAAGCTCTGCCTGGCACACTGGGCACTGTGGCCTTGACTCAGCTGAGCAATTTGGAGCATGTGTCTTGCTGAATGAGGGCTCATGCATCTAGCTGAAATTGCTTTATAGGGCACAGTCCAGATCCCACTGAAATGCTCGGGAAGCTTTTGCCATGCACTTCAATGAAAATGTGATCAAATCTATGTCACCTGATTTTCCCTTAGGCTGAGGATAAAAATTGCTGCTCTGCTGGTTAAAATCAGAAGGGACAGTAGAGGGGCTGCCAATAAAAATGTTACAGTGAGATATGTAAGGGGACAGTCCTCCAGTAAGATTTCCTGCAATGTAGATAGACATAGAAGAGAAAGAATTAAAAATAAAGAGTTAAAAATATCTTTAGGTGTAGGAAAAAATGTAGCATCAGGAATAGAACAATGCAAATTTTGATAAGTTGTCCAACCTAAAAGAACAGTTTTATGCTTCATTTTAATGTATTTCCTGACTGATGATTATGGAAAGACATAATTTTAATGCTCTTTGACAAAGTTGGTTATATAGCATTTATGTATGAGCATTTACGTAAGAGACTGATTTCTTCTGTGAATTTATTTTTTTAAGTCTAACTGGTGACTATAGATATATGTATAAAAGGAGAAACTTTCTAAATTTAAATCCTTCATCTTTCTTAATTCTGAAGTTGTGGTAGTGTCTGGCTCATCAGATTTGGAGTCCTCTTAGAAACTGTGAGAACGTTTCTAAATTTGATTGTTAATCTGTTGAACAGAAAAGCTGCCATTGGAGAGAATAAACTTCCTTTTAAAGTACTAGTAAATGTGCAAAAGTGCTCAGAGGCTTAGGAGGCAAAGTCTATTTACAGCTAGAAGATTTGGACTCTTAAGGGCATACAGCACTTTTGAAAATGAGACTTAAATGCTTCTAAGTAATTTGGGCACTACATAAAATCATATCTAATTTCCCTCTTTTTGCTCTGACATCAACACCAATCATAAAATGATTTATTATCTAGTTGATAGCAGAACTGGTTTTATGTGGAGCAAGTCCAAGAGAAAGAGATATATTTCAGAAGTTAATTAAATAATTTAATAGCATTTAAGTATGGGAGGCAATACACATTCTTGGTTTCACTGAAATTAAATGCATTGGTTCTGTAGTAATTATATCCAAACTGGATGTTGTTCTCAGCTGAATGCTCATCCCTTGGAAACCTGTGGACTGTGTCTGATGGACTTGGTGCAGTAGCAGCCAGAGTGCATGTAGACTTGCACACTCTTGGAAATCATAAATTATTCCTCTGTAGCCACAAGAAGGAGGCTAAGATAACAATGAACAAACACTGTCAGGTTCAAACAGAACCCCAGAACAACGAAATCTTGTTTGAAATTGGATGATTTTGGAATATGCTTGGCAAGAGGGGTTAAGTACAGACTTCCTCATCACTTCAATGGATCAGACACATGCTAATCCCATCCTGCCTGGAGCACAAAGTCCCATCTCTTAGGGACTGTTGTCAGGCCCTGGTTTCACACAGCTGCTGCTGTGGCTGACAGGAGAAAAGAGAACTTTCTCCACAAGATCTCAGTGGCACAGCAATCTGTAGGTGAGAAAGAGGCAGCTTCTTTCATGGAAGCTCTGCAGTCTGCTATGGCTGTATTGGAAACACTCTTTAAAGTGTCAGGACCTCAGGGCTGGCTGGCTCTGTTGTCCCTTTATATTCTCAGCTCTCCAAGAGTTTCCCTGGAAACTCAGCAGCATTTAGCCACCCCTGCCCCGTTTCCCACATGCCCTTAGGAACTCCATGGGGAAACTGGTTCCTTGGGATCCAGGCTCCGTGCCAGATGGAATTCAGGATGTGCAGAGATGCTGAGCAGTAGGTGGCAAGTGCACAGGGGTGATTGCCAGCTGCTCCAAAGGGCAGGAGGGGTGTCCACAGGCCATGACACCCTCCTTGGCTCTCCATCTCCTCTAACTGCAGCACCTGGAACAGAGGCAACCAGGCAGTTTGAGGAGTCACAGGACTGGGTCATAGAGGGGAGCCTGCTCTTAGAGAGGCTCTAAGAGCCTCTTGAGCAGGCTCCCCTGTAGGAACCAATGCAGGTACAAACCAAGCAGGCTCCTCCCTCCCAGCTCCCCTCAGAGCTGGAGCAGCCTCCAATCCTGATCCATCACTGGAGGAGACCCCTGACAGCCCAGGCTCCCTAGACATTTAAAACGCAGCTCAGGGAACGAGTACAGCGAACAGCAATAAACATGATCATAAATCAAATATAATATAAACAAATAAAACAAGCGAAACGTTGCGTTTTGTTCACAGTGACGATCCCAGCGGTTCCACAAGCAAGAGAGCCGGGTGTGAAACGGAGGATCCGAAGGAGGCCGGCAGACAGAGTGGCCAGGAAGGCAGGTCCGACTCCGTGCCGCTAAAAGCCCAGCATGCGGAGCTCCAAGAAGAGCAGGCAGCGGGGTGTTCCCCCCTGGTGCAGAAGGCGAGCCTCCACCACACGGGCTCCCCAGTGAGAGTGCAGCGCAGCAAAGGGACGGCCTCGTGTTCCCATGCGGCTGCCTCCGATTATGAGCTCTCCCTTGACCTAAAGAATAAACAGGTACCAAGGCTTCCTGCTCAGGCTGTTGGGAGAAGGGGATGGGGCGGGTGGGACTGCGTTTGCACTGTGTGGAATGACTTTCAGCAGATGCATTGGCCTTTTGTTCACCTGGAGCTTCTGCCCTGCCTAGCCGGCCCTTTGGGCACGTGAGGCTGATGGAGGAAGTAGATTCCCCACCTGTGACTGAGTCACTCTTTCACCCAAACCTGCTGGTGTCAGCTCCTTGTTGCCTGGATTCAGTGGTCCAAAATGGACCTAGAAACCCAGTAGTGAGTGTAGGCTTAGAGATGGGTTGCAGGCAGCCAAGAGCAGCAGCATCCAAGGGTAGTGCCTTGCTCTCAAGTGTACAGTGTCAACAGGGCTCCTGGAAAACTGGTTCTCCAAATTACCTCCCTCATGGGTGAGTCTCCAAGAACCATCTTGCCATCTTGCATCATGCAGGGCAGGCCCCCAGCACACTTCTGCATTAGCATGAGCTTTCAAGAGGAAGTGGGGTTTATTCAATGAGTGTCCTACACAGCACCTACCACGATGTTTGTGCGCTCCTGGCACCACTGCCCTCAGTCCAGAGGAGGATGCTGAAGAGATAGGCAAGTTTACCAGGCTAAGAGAAAATTATTCAGTCCTAGAAGCTGCACTCTGTGCCTGAGGCTACAGACTAGCTCCAGAGCACAAGTGTGCCCATCTCTAGCTGTGTGTCCCACTGGACTCCCAGCAGGAGACAGTGGGACAGGGGCTAACAGCAGCTGGCCTCCTCCTTCACAGGTGGAATGTGTCCCCTCCCTCCTCGTCTCTGCAGATTACAGTTCAGGAGAGCTGTTGTGCAAAACAGAACCTAAAGCATAATTTGTGCCTTTTCCCTGGGAAGGCAGCTCTGTCAGGGGCTGTAGGATATGCAGGCCCTGCAGTCTGTGAGGTGAGGAGGACAAGTGACAGGGGGAGAGTTCAGTGGAAGCTGTGATATCGCAGCTGAAGGGTCTCAGCTAATGAGGTTTCCACAGAAGAAGCTGCTACTTCTGGGACATCTCTCTACCACTTCCCTCAAGGCACAGATGCTGTCCCTAAACATACGTGTCAGATCAATGACCCAACAGATTTCTGAGCAAAAGAGACACCTTTGCTCTCCAGCTCTGTCTTTCTCAAAATACTGCATATTCAGACAAAATTCTTGCTTCATACCAGGAAAAAAAAAAAAAAAAAAAAGAGAGACTAATTAACTGGCTTCACAAGCTAATGTGACATATCTTCAGGGTGGGCCACATCTTGACTGCTATATATGTTCTTAGCCTCCTGGATATCCTACAGCTGCTCTGGTTGGTCCCGGGGAGTGTCTGTCCTGTGTTATTTTAGCTTTAAGGTCATGTTGCCATGTCATTGTTCTTGCAGCAGATCTGCCCTGGATGCATGTGAGCAAGAGAGCCATGTTTAGCTCATTGCTCATTAATGCCTGGTGCCTCACAGAACTGACCTTGCAGGGACTGAGCCTAATCTCCTTGGTGAAACCACTTTTCTCACACCAAAGGGGCCTTACAATTTGTGTGCCTCCCCAGACTCATGGGTGTCTTTAGTGAATTGCCTTCAGCTCTGGAAGGGGGGATTTTCAGGCAGTGAAGAGTACTAATTCTTCCACTCTTGCACTGTAGTATGTGTTTTTATAGGTATTAGTATCAATTTACCCATCAGGTAGTTTTCTTAAATGGGAATAATGGTGATAGGAACTGCACAGGGCTGTCCCAGTAGAACCCTACCTATAGCAGAACTTGTAATGCAGGAATAGAACTCACAGTAAGAGAAAAAAGTGCAAGGAGACATTTTTAGTCTCACTGCACAATTGAAGTCACATTTACCTTTTGAGAGAGGACTGAGTGCTAGTAAGGAAAAAGGGTAAAGTGCAGCCTCCTCTGCAAGACCTGGACCAGTCGAAGCCCCTCAGCATCATCCTAGAGAGTTGGTGAGTGGCTTCATGGCTGTCCTTGCTCCCTACCCCATGAAACAGAGAATTCTGACAGTGCACTGAGGAGATGTACTCAATGCCGGGAGGTTGGAACAGAGACTCAGGTACTAAAGTTCCCCTGTTCTTAGACTCTGTAATGTTGGGGAAATGCAAGGCACCACAGGGAAGAGGAGCATGCTTTCAGTCATGCATACACTTGGGCTGTGCTGAAGGGCAGCAGGTGTCCCATGGATGAAGGAAAGCACTCCATTAACAAATATCCCTTGTAGCAATGTCCTTCCATTGTGAGAGGCTGGAGAAGCATTAAGAATGAGTGACAAGTATGCTTTGTATGTTTTTTGTTTGGTTTTTTTTTTACTTTTTTTATGATGTGTGCATTACCTTGAGTGACTCAGATTCTATCCCTGAGCCTGATTCTTTTCTGGTTATAACATGGTGGCACATCCCCATACTCAGTGGCAACCAAGATAGAAAACCTGTGCTAGCCAAGAATAAGATCAGGCCATGGTCTCTCCTGGCAGATTTATAAATTTATGCCTATGGGCACCAAAGCCATGGGATGTGGACCTCAGATGTTTGTCCATGTCGGGGCCTACAGTTTGGCTTGCCTTTTGTCTTGCCTTGACCTTGTTAAATCTCCCTCCATATGCAATCCCTCATGGCAGTGGATATTTCGCAGCCATTTCTAATTCAGCCACGATTGCTCAGAATGAGTGTTCATACTGAGGCCCAGAAATGTATTAAGCTAATTATTCTTTGAAATCCCCCCCGATCCCCCTCCTGCTCTTCCCTTCCTTTGGCGCCGGCTGTCGGATCATTCCCCAGAGAAGAGTAGCTTTAAGTAGGCAATTACTTGTAATTCATGGGGTTTATTAGGAGCGAGAGAAGGCCAATCATGTCTGGCCTTTCTCAGCTCTCAGATGAGAACAGAAGGTTCCTCCAGCCATCCAGACTTACATCTCCATTACCCGTGACTGCTGCGGTGCTAACAAACGCCCTCTCTCCTCTGGAGAAGAAGAACACAGGCTACAGCTGTGTGAAGTCCTTAGTTCCTTTGGACTGTCAGTTAGCTCGATCTCGCAGCAAATGGGTATGTCTCAGACATCAATAAGCAGCAAATGTCTGGGCAACAGCAAAGAAAAAGAGACAGAGACCCACAGCTACCAAACAAGGGTGGGGAGGGCACTTCTCTCTATGGGGATGCTGCATATAGCTCTGCCAGTCTTCTCAGGCATCCCTTGGAACACTCCCTGTCCCTGTTATGCCTGCTGAAAGATAGTGCAGGATTCCCCTTGCTTTGGACAGTGCCAGTAGGCAGTGGTGCAAAGGGCAGAACCCAGCCTTGCACCCCTGGTATGAGCTAGAAGACAGAGTATTTGAGGAGGAGTCCTCTCTCTTCAGATCTAGGAGTCCTCTCACTTTAGATCTTGTTCTGCTCCTTAATGCCTTAGTCCTTTGGGAGGACTGAGATTATGGACTGCAAAAAGCTGGTGATGTTTTTTATCAAGGTACTGACAGCTTGCTCTGTTCCTTTGGACTTTTGGAAGGATCTCTCCTTGCTAGCTATTAAAGTCTGCCATTTTTGGCACTGTCCTTGCATGAGATAAACTGGCCTTTTACTTTAGATCAGCAATGACATGTTGTCTTGGCCTCTAATAAGATCAGAGCCTATGAATTTCATGTTTTCAGAATGGCTGTCACCTCCTTGGAAACCTTAGATAATTGTAAGGCTCTTGCTTCTGCTTTATTTTGCATTTTACTGTTATTCTGTCCTTCTCATTTGTTCCTCTTTCCCTCCTAACACGATTAGCTCTACATTTTCATTAACCAGATCATTATTTTAAGTGCTCACGGTCAGTTATCAGTAATAACTCTCTGGGTTGGGCCTTTGCAGGTTACTGATGTAATTTACATTTATTTGCATGAGCCTTCTCCCTGAAGGAATGAGCCAAGGGATAGTTCAGTCTCTTTCCAGACAGGCCAACTTTAAAGGCATGTGTCAGGAGTGTTGGTTTTATGGCAGGATTTAAGATGTCCTTGTTTATCCAAAAGGCCTGCTGCCAGGTCTTGTGGTAAATGACACTGTACCCATGATTGGTGGGGGTGACTTTTAGCAACATTTATGCAGACCATTTCTGGGAGGGCAGCAGTGAAAATATTAGGCAAATGTTCTTTAAATCAGGGATAAACAGAGCTCTGAGCCAGCTACCTCTGCAACTGCAGTGGCAACCCCACCACTAAGAAAATCGCTGGTGTTTCTTAGTGCTGGGCTTTGATGTTTGCTTGGACAGACCACAAGCTTGAGGGCAAGGCAGACAGAAAACAGAAGCCTACCTGATGTTTGAGCACAAGGCAAAGGTCCCTGCTTCATGTCCAGAGAGGGAAATATGAAAAGATGTGCTCCCCATCCCACTCTCTTCCATAAATGTCAGCCTCCCAGTACTTGCTCCACAGCCAGGATAGCAGTGCAGGCACAAAATGGCTGGGCTTAGGTTGTTCCTCTCTGCCTGTTATCTCCCAAGGTCACATTATCTTCCTCTACTTCCAGAGGAGTTAGTATTGGAAAGACTCCAGAGGTCATTTACAGTTCTCATAGCTGTCAGACCAGGTCTTTATGTGTCATCACTCGCTGATGGTTTTATCTGTAACTTACGTCATGTTATGAAAAAGAAGAAGGAAGCAGGTGACATGGCATAACTCTGAGCTGAGGCTCATGCCTCAGTCTCACTTTGACTGTGAAAGCAATTTGCACTTAAACTCAGATCTTGTGGAGCTGAGCTTTTCAAACTGTGAGTACTGGGCCACCAAGGCATGGTGAGGGACAAGTGGTATGTCTGGGATGAGGATGCAGTCAGTGAAACCCATCCTTTGGTTCTGCTAATGAGCTCACACTCACCACATGACTGATGCACTGAATCCTCTGCTAACTCAGGGCTGACTTCACCGGTCTTCTCAGTCCTGCCTTTCAACTTTTTTGGTTTTCCTACATGTGTGCAGACACATATTAATGCTACAGTCTGCAACTGCACTCTGCCCTGTGAAGTGCCAATGATAACTTATAGTTCAGCCTAAACCTCAGTGAAGGTAGTTTGTGTTCATTCTTTTTTTTTTAACCCCATCTTCCACCTTCATCCTCACACTGTCCCCCTTGTCCTCTGTCAGTCACTCATTGGAACCAAATCATCTGTCATTCTCCTGGAACTTGTTAGTGAAAACCCAGCTGCAGAGGAAGAGTGGGGGGATTACCAGGAAGTTTAAATTCTAGACTACAGGAACAACCATACATACATGCTTTGCTGAAGCCAGTTGAGATGATGTGTGTCAATGTATTTACGTGTGTTTGTTGTTACCAGCTCAGGTAAATCCTCCTTCTACTTTTTTTATTATCTTGTCTCAACATTTAAAATCCAGACTTTTTTGCCTTTCAAAAGTGAGAGTCTTTCTTTTTCTGGGTATTTTTCTTTTCATTGCTGACTGACACCTGAAAAATTCAGATATCAAAAAGGAAGACACTTTGGGATTCAGAGCACTTTTTAAAAGACACAACTCAGAACAAACCCAGCCTCCACTAACTTATATAGAAGTTTATGTTTCTCACTAACTGCTAGATCAAGCCAGTATTCTTTGCATTTAAAAATGAAATTTTCTTCCCTTTTTCTGAATGATTTCTCCTTTTGCTGAGAGTATTTCCTAAGGTGGATGAGGAGGGGAGAAGCATTAGTAACACTCTGAGACAAGAGATAATGCCTGACATGACCAGAGCACCACTGAACAGGAAGACGTATTGCTGGAATGTTATATTTGCAGTAATGCACTTGCCCTAAAGGCCATCAGAAGTGAGTCTTCAAGGGAAGGGCACCTGCAGGCTCCAGTTTTCATGACTGGCACTCTAGGAAGAGGCAGGATCCCATTACAGCTGTGAGGAAGTTCATGGTGCTGATGATTTAGCCAGGGTGCCCAAATAGGAACCTTCTGTTGAAATCAGGGGCATGGCATTGCAGGGAAAAGTTAATTCGTTGTCAGAAGTTGCTTTGACAGTCATTGAAGACTAATCAGTGTAGAAAGTTGGGCAATAAGAAGCCATGGGGAGGCAATTAGCAAAAACTAACGTGTCCGTTCTCTGTCTTTCAGATCGAAATGCTAGAACACAAATACGGCGGCCACCTGGTGTCCCGCAGGGCAGCTTGCACCATCCAGACCGCCTTCCGGCAGTACCAGCTCAGCAAGAACTTTGAGAAGATCCGCAACTCCCTGCTGGAGAGCCGCATGCCGCGCCGCATCTCCCTGAGGAAAGTCCGCGTCCAGAACTCGGAGAGCTTCTCCGCGGAGAAAGCCCTGGTGGAGGGGTACAACTTTGTGGGCATCCCGCTGGTGAGGTCCCCGTCCTTGCCAGCCACTATCAGTGGGGCACTAACTGAGCTGGAGGACTCCTTCACAGAACAAGTTCAGTCCCTGGCGAAATCCATCGACGATGCCCTCAGCACCTGGAGCCTGAAGACCATGTGCTCCCTGCAAGATGGGGGCTCGTACCAGATCAGGGAGACCTTCAGCGCCAGCTCCATGCAGCCAAACCAAGACTTAGAGGCTGAGCTACAGGATCAGGAGAAGGAGGAAGGTCTCCTGCCAGATACTCTACCCAAGAGCAGCAGCACTCTCATGATGGCTTTTCGAGATGTCACAGTTCAGATCGACAACAAGAACATCTCTGTCTCATCATCTACCTCGGTGTCCATGGCAAACTGTCTCAGCAGCAACGACCAGGCTGGGCTCTCTCCAGCTACCAAGGCTGAAGAAAGCCCAGGAGAAGCGGAGGGAGAAGCCAGTGAACTACTGTCTGCCCCAGAGAGCTTACCTGAGAACAGCCTCACTTCCACCGAGGTGGATGTCAGCACTAATGGCACAGGGGACAGCAGCGCTGAGCCGGATCAGATGGCGGTGCAGAAGCTCCAGTTTGATGCAAGCAATGAGGCAGGACAAAGCAAAGGCTTGGAGTCTGAAAATGCAGACAACTCAGAGCAGCTGAGCAGCAGCAGCACCTCCACCTCAGCCAAGTCAGCCTCTGAGGTGTCCTCAAAGGAAGCCTTGCAGGCCATGATCCTCAGTCTGCCGCGGTACCACTGCGAAAACCCAGCCAGCTGCAAGTCCCCCACACTCTCCACAGACACCATGAGGAAACGCCTTTACCGCATTGGACTGAACCTCTTCAACATGTAAGTGGCTCTTCCTCCATTTCCCAGCCAGGGTTATGCCTCACATAGGCACAGATGATGGCATGCTCTTGGTCCAGATCCATCTCCAGGGAAATTTGTTAATTTGTTCTTATTCAAGGGCATGACCATCTGGGTATGCAGTGCACAACACACATTGGCTTCCCAGAAGCTCTTTCCCTAAATTCTCCCAAATACTGTCCTTCTCTTCTGCCTAACAGAGGAACAAGCCCATGAGTAGTGCCCATGCTCTCACAATTCACTGAACCTTCAGTTCCAGTTCCTGTCCATTTGGCATCCACCAGCTGAGCCTGGGATCACTCTGCTCCACTCTGTTGCAAAGGAACAAACATAGCTAGGACTGTAAACCCAACCCTGGTTTCTTAACATGGGTCAATTCCAAGTAAAGAGAGAGGGAGACAGAGGTAGAGCTGAGCTTAGCTAGCCCAGTATGAGTCTTAATAGTAAAATTACATCTCTGGCTGTAATTTTCCTTCAGATACTTGGGTAGACTTTCACCTGACAGACCAGGTTCAGTCACCTGTCTCTCACATACCTGAGTTGGATATCCTGTGAGAAGGCTGTAGGTGTGAAAGCAAAAGCAGAGCAGAGGTCACCATCAGAAGAGGTTCACTCACAGGGTCACATATGGATGGGCAGAAAGGAGCTGAGCTCCCTTAAGATTTAGATTTGCTCATTGCCTTTCGATGAGACTTTTCTCATCTAAGCAAGCCATGAGAAGTACTGGGTTTTGCTTTATCATCACACTCTCATATCTCTGTCTTTGTTTCCATTTGAGTCCCCGAATAATGAGGATGTAATGTATCCATAGTAGGAGAATGTTTTTCCACACGTTAGCGTGGGCATTTTAGTCAAAGCAAGGCCTGATCATTATGCAGTCCCAGGCAGAAGTTTTTCACAGACAAAGGGGAAGTGAACAGGACTTATAAATGTGTACTATGGAGGCTGTGGACTCCAGGAGGCAGGGACCAGGAAGAGAGGTTTTCAGGATTGGTTTCAGAGCACACCCAGAAGCAAAGTGATGTTAGGTCAGGCAGATTTGGGACTCTTACAGAACTGAGAGGGACGTATTTCCAGTTCTGAGTACAGGTTGGAGAACAGGAGTGAGGAAAATAACTTGTTAGCTCTGGGGAATGATGCCTTTCTTCAATCTCTGAGCAGTATCTAGGGGACATGTGGCTCCCCTTGTGGCTTCTTCTCCAAGGGACTGGGAGGGCCATTAAGCTTTCTGAGGTTATTTGGTTGAAGTTTTCCCTGTCTATTTCCAGGAAGAAGCCAGTTTACTATCATTGGGTTTGGGATGTGGGCACTGATCTGTGGCCATGGAGCTGAGGCTGTGTGTACTATCATTGGGTTTGGGATGTGGGCACTGATCTGTAGGCCATGGAGCTGAGGCTGTGTGTGCACATCCTTTTTCCTGGCTTTCCCTGGAGCAGCAGCTGAAAGCCTGCAGTTTCTAGTGGAAACTGCCACAGCCTCTCTGGCCTTGCCTGGCATTTTTGGAAGGCAGTGCTCTGGCTTGGAGCAGGCCTCTGGAATCACATCGATGCAGTGGCACTTTCCTCATCCCTGCTGCACCGTGAGGGGGTGAAATCCCTGGAATGGTGAGTGCTTCATTATGCAGCACTGCTGTAACAGCTCAGTGTGTGTGGGCAGCTGGCTGCGTGGGCAGAGGGAAAGACAGCAGGACGTGAGGAATCCCACAGCATTTGCTGGCTCTGCTTAGCAGCCCTGCAACACCAAAAATTAATAGCAGGGACCAGGCTCAGGAGAGAGAGGAGTAGAGTAGTCTGCTGCACCTCTGGGTAAAAGCTGCATGCTGGGATACATCTGCAGGTGTTCAGTGGCAGAGATGCTGTATTGCCATCAGGTTGTTGTGAAGAACAAATTGAATCCTGGGGAAAACTGATGGGAGGCTGCTGTCAGTGAAGAATTTTTGAGTTATGGTCTAGGCAGTGCAGGAGGGCTGTCACAGGTGTACTCTTTTATCCTGCATCCTTTGATGGCATTGTGTGTACCATCTCTACTGAGACCTGCACATGTGTGCATTTTTTTCTGGCCATATTAAACTCTCATCAGGTGTACTCTTTTATCCTGCATCCTTTGATGGCATTGTGTGTACCATCTCTACTGAGACCTGCACACCCATGCTAGTGTGTGCATTTTTTCTGGCCATAATAAACTCTCAGCTCCTCTGGAGTGGATCCAAAGTCAGTCCAGTGACTTTGGAGTCACACAGGTGTAACAGAGTTCATCCTTGTGTTGTGAACACCATCCCATGCCTTGCCAAATACCAAAGTGCTCAGGTGGATGTGCATTTTATGAATCTCTGGTGCTTAGTTTGACTTATCTCCCAACCATATCACCTTTGCACCTGGCAGGGAAGTTTACCTGTACTCTTTAGCAGTGAACCAGTAGATCTTTATGATAATAAAGAAGGTGCATTGCTGCTTTTCCCTGAAGAAGGCCTGGGGTTTTTGGTATCACATCTTGCAGCTCTCCTATTTATAAATGTGATGGGCTGATTGTTCTTGCAGCCCTCTCCCCAGCAGTGCCACACTGCCCAGGATATTTTCTTTTGACCTTACAGAGTAATCAGAACTATTTGAAGGCCATCTACTTTTTCCATGTCCGTGAGGCCCCTGTAAGGAGCAGGCCATTCTGCTGCAGGCAGCTCCCCTTATAGCTAGACATATGTTGCTCACCCACATACTTCACCACCTGACAATGTCACAGTCTGTGCCTGTGCATATCATGCATTCATGTGCTCTGAAATCCCATCCTATTCTTTCCTCACCCCAGGAAACTGCCTGAGCAAACTCACTCCTTGAGCCTTGAGAAAGAACCCAGAATTTGGGTTAATGATGGAAATATGACATCATTTAATGAAGTCACCCTCTCACCTCTCTCCACTCAGCTCAGAGAACCAAAGAAATGTGGCAATCTTCCTGCCATTGCAGTGATTCACCTCAGCACAGTGCATCATGACAGACAGAGACCCTTCAGTGGGGCAGACTGAAATATGGGAGGAAAACTTCCTGCACAACACACACGTACTGTTTGTTCTTGTCTGCATTGTGAGACAGCCTCACAGCCACTCCCAGGATACACAGGGGCTTATAAACTAGGACAGAAAGATGAGGACAGATGTTTTATCAGGACCTCTGGCAATAGAACCAGGGGTAATGCTGTTAAACTGAAGGAGGGCCAATTTAGGTTAGATGTAAGGAAGATTTTTACAGTTAAGGTGGTGAAACACTGGCACAGGTTGCCCAGAGAGGTGGTGGTTGCCTCATCCCTGGAGATATACAATATGAGGTTGGTGGGTTCTCTGAGTAACCTTATCTAGTGGAAAATGTCCCCACTCACTGCAAGAGGGTTGGAGTAGATGGCCTTTAAAGGTCACTCCAAACTTTGCTTCTGTAAGAGCTGTGTGTGCAGGCACAGACACTGGCACATTAAGAAGCAGAAAATCACTCCCACAGCCAGGCAATCAGGCCCACTCAGCACCAGACCTGCTCTCAGAGAGATGCTCCCAGCCACAGAGGGAGAAAAGCCCTCTGTCTGGGAGCTGCACACTGCTCCCTCCCTTCTTCTGACAAAGCATTCTCTGGGTGCCTTCTCTCACACACAAAGATTTCTGCCTGAGGGCGTGAATCAATAGAGAAGGGAAGAAAAACACAGCTCAGGGTGGGGGAAGTGGAGGAGGAATAAACATATCTGAGTATGGGATTTCTGTTCAGGCAGCCAACATCAAGCTCAGGTGAGGAAGATAAAAAACTATCAGTCTACAATGAACATTGAAAATCTATGAAAAGCAACATTATTTGTTTAACAGAAAAAGTGTCCACTTTTGGTTATCCCCCTTGGAGCCTTGAGCCTCGTTTGCCCATAGACCACGGCAGCAATGTCTCCTAAGTTTCTTCACAGAGGAAAGGGCCTCTGACTCTGGAGCAGATGGATGGCAGAAGAGTCACTTATGAGGTGTGGTACAATGCAGTAGGATTCGTTGTGGCAGTGGGATGCCACTTGTGATTACCAGGTGACAGCAGGTGCTGCAAGTGACACAGCAGGTCCTATGGCATCTTTTTTGACCTCAGCAGCAGCTAGGGGGACACACAGCAAGTCACTTTTCCTCACCCCAACCAGTCCTGTTCCTGACACACTCGTGAAAGCATAGGACCCCAGGCACATACCAAGGGCTGCACTGATGCAAGCCAGAGGCAACAATGCCTCCAAGAGCTCATGCAAACTCACCATGTCTCTGTCCTTCCCTTCCAGAAACCCAGACAAAGGGATCCAGTTCCTGATCTCCCGAGGCTTCATCCCAGACACCCCCATTGGGGTGGCACACTTTCTGCTGCAGCGGAAGGGCCTCAGCCGACAGATGATTGGGGAATTCCTGGGCAACAGCAAGAAGCAGTTCAACAGGGATGTTCTGGAGTAAGTGTGGAAATCTCTTCCCCTCCTCCCTCCACTCCAAAGGCATTGCCAGCCCGCTCTGCCCCTGGCTGCACCAGCAAGGTCTCCATGCCCCTTTGCTCCCACTCTTCAGCAACACCACCATTGCCTGTCCCTAGCTGGCATCCCTCAACACATTTCCCAGCTATGTGTGTCACCCTTCATATCATCAATTCTTTCATTTCATCCTTCCTCAGGAGGCCTGTGGTCGCCTAGCAGGAGCTCAGCACTGTCAGGTGGTAGAACAAGTCATGCTGGCAGGTTTGGGGGTGGGGAACTCTTTGGCTGAGGTCTCATCCCATCCATATAAAGTAACTCTGATGCCTTCTGGGAAGTATTAAGAGAGGCAGAGGATGAAAAATATCTGCTTCTTGCTGTGAGACCAGCAGGGAGAAGTGAATGCTGACTACATACTCAATTCCCTTTCTGTCCAGGTTAGAAATTGGGGACCCCATCCATGTAAAGTAACTCTGATGCCTTCTGGGAAGTATTAAGAGAGGCAGAGAAAAAATATCTGCTTCTTGCTGTGAGCAGGGAGAAGTGAATGCTGGCTACACATTCAATTCCCTTTCTGTCCAGGCTGGAAACTGGGGAGCCTTTGAGTTTGTCCAACTGCATTATGAGGATAATGACAAGGTCCTGTTTGTGGTGATGAGGAGGCCTGCGTATGAAAACATGCTTCTAAGGGCTCAGCATTGCCACAGCAGCCATGGAGCACTGAGGAACATCCCCACTCCAAAATCTCCAACAAGCTGAACTGCCCCTTTTCAGAACAAAATCTGAGGTTTCCTTCCTGCTTCTGATCAGTGGCTGCCTTTGCTGGATTGTTACCTTCAATTCTCTTGCCATGACCCTCTCCTGGTCACAAGCCATGCATCTCTCAGCCTGCACCTCTCTCCTTTTTCAAGTCTAGTTCATTCAGAGACCCATTTCAAGGCATGCAGCACTCAGCTGCATCTTTCTTTTATTATGCAGAAGCACAACTCTTAGGGAGAGCTGCCTTTCCATTAGGCAGGAAGTCCTTTGCACTGGGTCCTTTATTACATTCTCCCATTCTCCAAAATGTTCTCTATTTCCCTTGAATTTTGCAGCGGTTTCTCTTGAATCAAACCATAAAGAAATTCCAAATCCCATCCACATACCACTTCTACTCCAAAGAAATATTGGAGAATGCCAAAGTTCAAGAGCCAAATCTAGGCCTAAATTTTAAAATTAATTCCAGCTGCAATTGCTGCTTCTTATTGCTCCAGGTACCTACCTGACCTTTGGGCCATCTCTTTTTTTAATATACTGTAGAAGTATTGACTTGTCCAGCAACAAGACACATGTGCTGTCCAGTCTCTTCATGCTGAGAATTCCAGTTAAAAGTAATTGCCTTTTTTTCTCCAGTAAGCATTGTGTGGGTTTCTTCTCCTCAGAGATAATCTGCTCAAGTCCAAACCTAGCCTCTGCACTCACAGATATTGCAACAACAATAGGCTGACACTTCCCTGTAATCATAAATTTGGCATCATCCCTGCAGATGACCATGTTCCTCTGCCTCACATGGGACTACAAACTCAGTGTCAGCATCTCCTGGGAACAGTGCCTGTTGCAAAGGCTGGTGCCAGCCTCCCAGCCTCAGTGCCCAGGAGCTGCTGCATTGGGGTTGTTCTGTTTCTGCACGAGGCATGGGGGCCACTGGGGCAGGTGGCCCCACTCCATCATACTCATTACTCGAAATTTCCACTGCCCCTCTCATGGTAACACTGCAAATATTCCGTGAAGGAGTGACCTTGCCTATCCTATTAACATCTGTAGAAAACAAGGCCCAAAGTTGGGGACCAAGATATTGAGGCTGTGTGGACATGGATACACCTGGGGCAGAGACTGTGTGTACTTGAGCATGTATCAAACTGGGTCTGAGTTCAGGGTTCAAACCTGTGTCTGATCTTGCCAGGCAACAGATGATATGCTTGCACTGACAATCTGTGCTGCCATCCTCTCTTCACAAGAAATGCCTGATTTGTCTTCCATAAAGGCAAAGATAAAAGTAGACTTAAAATATATGTAGAATAGTCTAAAAGAGGAAGGAAAAAAACATGCACATTCAGCTGGTTGTAGCTGTGCCATTTGAAGGTACTTTCTTCCTGTGCCAGTTCTGAGCTTGGGGGTATGCTTGAGCATAGTTGGTGGGTTTTGCAAGCAAATTTTTCATCAGCCACTCATGGGAGCTGGATGGGCATTGGCTGCACACCCAGCAGCATGCTATGCATGGAAATAAGGCATTGAAAGGAGAAAATCATGGCCCAGAATTATAATCCTGGATATTTTTCCTGTCCATGCTGCAGGAAGAAGAGGGCTGGCAGTGTAGTGTTGTGTAGTGTGCTGGCATTTCCAGTGCACTGTATCTCAAGGGCTGGTCACAACTTAGAAGCTGTTTCTATGGGAGCAAGAGGCACATCAAAGACCTTTTGGCATTTTGGAACTTGTCTTGTTCTCATTCCCCATCCAACTCCCATCAAATAGCTCAGGAACACTGACACAGGTTGGGAGAATGGACTGTGCAAGGGCTGTCGTGCTGTCCCCACATCCACCCACTCTTAGTAATGTTAAGGTACATGGTATTCCCTGGAGAGCACGCAGCAGACAGGAGAGCTCATACAGCAGCTTTTGCATGACTTGCGCAATACCACAGTCATTTTTAGTGGCCCAAATGGGCAGAAGAAGAACAGGCACTTGACTGCTGAGGTCAAATGCCCAGGCAGGGTGGCCATGAGCAGGCAGTAGGGCTTGGACAGGTTCTGATCACCTGCAGTGAGGAAGGTTGCATGCAGGCAGAGATGTCTGTGCTCTTTCACATCCCAAACCTGACCCTGGAGCCTCCTCTACCTCCCAGAAGCAATTTCAATTATTGATGCTACTTGCTGTGTTAGTTTAGCTTTTGCTTGATGTGAAAACTTATGTTGCAATTGTGTATTGTGAGCAATGTTTCTATTGCATCCAGGTTGAATTAACTCAGCCGCATGAATAAATAACAGCACAGCTTTTAAAACATCTGCAAAAGTGTCAGCCTCCCTTGTGCATTTGGAGGCAGGGCAGAGCTGCCCAGGTTACAAACTCCAGACTCAGCTGTAATGTCCAAACATAAGTCTGTACTCTGCAGAGTTGTCTTGGCTTCTGTAGACTTTGAAGCTGTGCTGGCTGACAGAGAAACCTGTTGCTGCTGTCAACAGCAGAGCTCAGGAGTGCAGAGTGGCATTTGGCTCTGTGAAGATGATCCCACTTTACTGCCACCAGTAAATGTAAAACTTCAGAGAATTGCTATGCTGGTTGCAAAGCCTTTTATGTAAAAGGGCAGGGGTTTAGGTGAGGTAAGCATTTCATGAGGATTGAGCACTTTGGTGTGCTATTTTTCCTTCCCACACCTTTATGCCCAGCACCTAAATGCCCTGAAATTGTAATCTCCCTTCCATCTTCCTGCTCTTATCTTTCAACCTTTAACTGATTTTCTTGGAACTCAAAAAAGGTGTCTGGATAATTCACAAGTAATTCTACATGCTAGCCAGAGGAACAACAGAGAGAGCAGGAGATTTTCAACAGTTTCTGACTATAATTGACACACACGCATTGATGACACTGAACCACTCAGGTCTGTCTCTTTAGGAAGATGCAGTATGTAATTTTCTTGTATAGAAAAGACTTCAGTCTTTAAAACTAGGATTTATCTCACTTGTTGTTGGCCACCACCAAGTTTAGTGCCTTCTAGAAATTTATGAATTCCTTTTGTCAATGGAGAGACACGGGGCCCTCAAGAGTGTTGTTTTTCTCAGTGCTAGTTTAGTCTGGACGTGCAGCTTTTAGGCATTTTGTGTTGCAGGGCATAAAACCCACCTATTTTAAGCACCTCATAAAATAACCATTCACTGTGATCAGCATCCAGAAGAATCTAAGAAGGTCCAGTAAGATCCAATAATCTGCTTGTACAGGCTGTCCTGCAGCCAGCAAGAGAGAATCACTGGAGACCTGCCCCAAGGTTTCAGTGTCTACCAGTCCAGGGAATACAGCTGGAGAGAGGTAGCCTGGCCCACTGAAGGACCTATGTGGTACTGAGCAGTTTAAATCAAATCTATTTGTCATGTACTGCAGAAAAATAATTCTGTTGCTTTGAAAAAGTAGGCCCAAGGCATTACCACATAGTTTTAATATAAGACACGTCATCATTCTTGCATCCTTTCTTCATTCTGTGTTTATTTGTTGCTTTTGTTCTCCTTTCTTCATACTTTCCTTCACTTGAGTCCATTCTTCCCCTCCACCTGTTCCTGACTCAGGAATTACTTCCATTCATAGTTCATTCATGAACAAGATAATGTGAGTGATTTCATGAATGGAGTCAGCTGTGCTGGTACTGGATGGTTTGTGTTCAGCTTGTGGGATTTGGAAGTGCAGATGAGGCTGTCCTGGTGCACTTGCTGTCAGAGGAGAAATGGGCAGAGATTCCAGCGGAGGAGGCATTGTGCTGAGTTGGGGTGTGGTTGTGTTAAGAGTGGAAGTTGCTGTTGGAGACATTCTCCCCGGGGCTGAGCAGGTCTCCTGTCTGTCAGGTCTGTGTTGTCTTCTCTCTCTGTCAGGGAAGTCAGGGAGAGAAAAGCTGCTCTCAGTACGTGCAGAGCTGGGAGCCCAGCAAAGGGGAGTGCCTCTCAGAGAAGGATTAGGTTCCTCTTGGACAGACTTGTCAGGTTAGCCCAAACTAGCCTTCTTTCCCCTTCTTACTGAGGATGCTACAGAGGACTTTCATCACAGGAGGGCTTGAGCAGGAGCAATAGATAAGGATGTGATGGAAACAGGAGAGAGGGAAGGACGTGTTAGGCACTTCTGACCTCCAGCTGCAATCGGGGCTGTAGCACACACAAAGGTGAGAGCAGCCCTCCCATGCCAGGCCAATACAGGCTGAATGTGCAGCTTGACTCTGCCTAGTCCCCAGGGAAACTCAGGAAGGAGTAGGTTCCCAAGTAGCCATGTGAGCTACCAACAACCATGGGAGGGTGAGTAGGCATGACAGCCCAGGGGGAAAACAGGCAATACACCAATCCTGTAGCATTCTCCAGAAAGGAAAAACTAGTGTGGGCCATGCTCTCCATTGTAGAGACTGTCCTTCCCAAGAGGGTGGGGAGGGCAGGACTGGGACACACACCTGTGCCCACTGGTGCATGGAATTTGGGAGTCCTGCTGGCTTTTCTTTCTGTTCAGTTCACACATGTAGGGCAGCCTCTTTCCAGGGAGCTGAGCTCTTCTACAATTCACCCAAATCCTGATTCACCTTCAGAAAGCCTGTAGAATCAGGGAGGCTGAGAAAAGGGATGGTTTTTATTAATATCTTTGTGCCTTGTGATTTTAAACTTTCCACCTGGCTGCCTTCCCCCTTGCTCCCTCCCTGAGTGGAGGCTGCAGGTTCATTACAGATGCTTTTAGCTGCATCCCAGCCCCTGCTGCATTGTCACCTGAGTGGAACAGCTGGAAAATAGGTCATTACACTTGGGTGAGCAGATGCCAGCCCCACATGATTCAGCTGCTTCCTGTCTTCACTGAACCCTTTTGCCACAGGCTCTTTTGCTGTGCTTAGCCCTGTGCTAAATCCTCACAGCTCCTCTGCCATTATGTCCACCCACTTTGAGGGGGATCTTTCCCTGTAGCCTAGGAGGCTACAACAGAGACAACAGCTAAGCATAATAATCCATCTAGGAGCCCACTCTTTGGTCCTGGAACCTGGTGGGGAATTCTCTGCTTGTTGTTGTGAGGTGCCTCAGGGCAGATCAAACTCCTCGTGTACGCAGGTGGCCCAAGAGTCCTCAATCCCCACCCCCTTGTCCATGAGGCAGGGAGCCAGTGCTTTTCCTGCCCACTTCAACAGCATGATCCAAATATCCAGTCATATCCTTGCAGACAGTGGGCTAAATGAATCTCTGGATGCACTGTGAGCTCAATTTGTGAGGCTTGTTGCAAGTTCCTAGGCAGGAAAGAGTTGAAACATGAGATTTTATAAGATGATTACTGTATCCCTGTATCATCATCTCTCAAGCCTCCTGGCAGTCCTGGAATAAGCATCTCACAGGTGTCCAGCTGTTTGTGGGAAAATGAACTCAGCACTGGTTTTGGCATGTGCACTTAAGTTTTTGGTTGATTCCTTGCATGCAGAGAGCCACCCACTCTCATATTCTTTGTCAGCTTCCATGGTCTCTAGCTTGGAAAGAAAAGACCTCCTTGGTCTGGTTTCATGAAGAAAAGTTGTGCTGCTCTTCAGAGGATGTCTGACACAGTTACCAGAGTGCATTTGGAAAGTTAATGCAAGTCTGTGCAGGAATCTGAAGTTAGGGAAGGCTGCAAAACTTCCAGCTGTCTAGAAGAGGAGGAGGAACATGGCAGACCCATAGCACAAGGCTGTTTGGCTCTTTGAATGGATTTTTCTGTGTCAAATTTGCACACAAAAGTAACAGACAAGTCTGATCCATCTTTCTTTCTGCCTGTCTAGCAGCAGAAATAGCAGCTTGGTACCTGATGTCTCCTGTAGGAGCTGTTCTTCAGACCTTTGGCACAGGATTTGTCAGATAAATCAAATCCAAGCGCAGGCTGACTTTGCTTGAATCAAACACTCTTCCTAACCTGTCCTTTCTGCCTGGTCAACTTTTCTCAGTAAGCAGGGCAGGGGACACTGTTCTTTGGGCTGAGAGACAAATGGAAGATACTCCCAGGAGTTAGAATTTACAAAGTAAACCTGCATCAGCCAGTCTGTGAGAGAAACCCTCCTAGGAGAAGCCAAGCATAACTCAAGGAGCAATGCCTGTTTGAGTTTGAAAAGAGCTGTGAACAGCTGCCTTGTCCTACTTGTCCTAATGAAGGCTCCATGCTTTCTGTAAGAAGGGCATTGACTTTATTACTTGAGATTTGTACACAAAGGGGAGGATGTTTTAGGGCAGCCTGTGTGCAGGGGGAAAGACTGATCAAAGAGGGAAGGAGTAAGTAAAAGACAGATTATTTAATGCTGGTGGACAGGGGCTACTAGGGTGACCTTAGTGGGTGTCCCTGGGGCATGCAAGCACTCAGTGTTCACATGTCTGGAAGCAGACAATAGCAGCAAAATCACCAGGGTCAGTGCTGAGAAACACTTGCACACTGGAAAGGATTAAAAAATAATAACAAAAGCCCAAGTGCAGAGGTGGTTGCAGCTGTGAACACAATAACGACTAACAAGAGGAAAACTGTTTTTACCCTCAATGATAAATTCCAAGAAGCAGAAGGCCTTGATGTTAACCCAAGGGACTGAGTATAAGTATGAGAAAAATAAAAATAAAAAAGGAAAGATGCAGTGAAGGAATTTTTTCTTATTGCCAAGTGTTTCTGCAGTCCACCTCTAGGAGAGATAAAAAAATATTTCATAAAAGATTTCCTATGAGAGCAGTCCCTTTGATTCTCTTCCCTTGCTCCCTATTTGTTTCTGAATTTCGATTATATGGACTTTGTGCAGAGAAAGAGCCCACAATTCCTAGCTGAGGTTGTAACAAGTCCAGCCTCAGAAGATACAAAGCATTTTATGTTCAGTCAGAGCTCTTGGTAAGTTATTCTGCGGGTGTCACCCCAGTTAAATGATGATAACTCCTGAATCAATAAGGCAGTGGAGGAATGCAGAGACCTTTCTGAGTTCAAATCTCTGTCCCTCACCCATCTGAGGAACTGTGCTACAGATTTTTATTCCAGCAAGGCTGCACAAGGCACTCAGCAGCTTAGTTCATAAACCACTTTCCAACAACCCACAGCAAACTGCAGCACTCAGACCAGCAGACACACTCCCAGTTTATCTCAGAAAGCAAGAAACTGGTAACAGCATATCCCTTTATTAGTAGAGGTTTCTTTGGCAAAATTTCCAGATAATCCTAGGAAACAGAAGGATCCAGAAGAGAGCTAATCCCCTCCCCCTCTTTTTTTTCCCTATACCACTCCTCATAAAGTCCCAGGCAACCTGTCTTGGGGAAAATTTCCACCTTAATAACCTTAAATGTGGGATCAGTTTATCCTTTACCACATGACATATCCTTTACCCCAAACACAATACAAAGAATTAAATAAAGGGGTTAAGGGACTAATAGAAGTAGCATCCAAAATAAAAAGCAGAAGAAAATATGATGTTCTTAAATTTTTAATGCACTTCTAATGTCAAGGTGGTCCCATTAGCAAATTAGTAACTTTGTATTTAATGAAGGTTTAAAGAAAATGGGATTTTGGCACCTGCGATTTTCTTCATCTGTCAGACAGAATTTCAGTGTTGAAAATTTATTTTTGGCAAAGAATAATGACAAGAAGGAAGGTAAATTGTGCATACCAAAGTCAGTGGAAAATAGAGTAGCTCAATGTCTGTCTTTGTTAGAATAACTAATTTGCTAGACAGGGGACATGCAGAACATAAATCCAGACTTCAGCAAAGCTTTGGACATGAGAAATTTTTTGTTGAGAGTGGAAGAGAGAGAAATTAGCAGAGGAATCATAAACAGGGGAGCAAATTGGTTGATACAGACATTAGTGCCTACATACTCTGCTGAAATGGGAAGTTGGGCCTGAGGGACATTATGAACAGGGGTTTCTTTTGATTAATGCTTGCAATAATGACCTGAGCACAAAAGGTAGGAATGTGCTAACAGAATGTGCTGAAGCCACATGAGAAAGGTGTTGTCATTACAAGTGACTGAAATATCATGCAGTAAGAATAAGAACAAGTAGATTATTTGACTAATCCAGAGAGCAAGTACTGTAGTGGTAGGTTTTGGAAACAGCAGGACCTTTATAAGATGAGAATGCTTTAGTGGAAAATAAAAAAGGTGTCATCCTCTTCTTGGGGTATCTAAATTTGCCATGAATTTCCTGTGGGCAGTGAATCATGCCAAAATGCAAAGTGACACCAGATAAGCAGGTAATGTTGCATGTTATTTCTGTACAACAGCTTCCATTTCCTATTTTCTCTGAGCTGATTCTGGTCTTATTGATATTGATACAGGTGTCTAAATATCTATGTCAATATAGATGTCCATATATCTATGTAGATACAGGTAAGTATCAATACATATATATATATACACATATATATACACATGCTTTCTCTGTATATGCATATGTGAATGGAGATGCTGTCTATGGTGTGATAGGTATATATGATGGTGAATACATACACACACACATATATAAATATATAGTAAAGCACAAGAATTGCTCACCAGCTGTAGAATGCAGGAATCACTTGAGTGAGGTCACTGCCCATGGTAAGCAGGATCCAGGAAGCCATAGTGATGTCTCAGGGCCTCTCCCGTGGTATTTCCCTTGGGGACTGGGCCTCAGTGCCACAGTGGAAGAGCCTGCCTGGTGTCATGCACGGGAGGATGTTCTGCTGAAGGCTGTGTCCCCCTCTCACAGCTGTGTGGTGGACGAGATGGACTTCTCAGGCATGGAGCTGGACGAAGCCCTGCGGAAGTTCCAGGCCCACATCCGTGTGCAGGGGGAGGCGCAGAAGGTGGAGCGGCTGATCGAGGCTTTCAGGTAAGAGCAGGAGCCCTGCAGCCCCACTGCTGCGACCAGGGCAAGCAGGGAACTCAGCACGCCCAAGGCAAAAAGCCAGCAGGTATGGGGAGAATGTCCACAGATATCTCTTCCTGAGAGGGGATCGTGGAGAGGCTCCTGAAGGATGGAGTCCACTGCTGTGTCACAGCTGTGGCCTTGTCAGGTTCAGTGGCATGAAGGGCACCAAGGGCCAGAGTGAGGCCAGTCCTGCTACGGCTTCCAGCAAGGGATTCCCTGTTCATTGGTGGCTCACAGGAAGAGAAGAGAGGGGCTTGCAGGGCTGCTCGGTTCTCCCTTGGTGCAACCAGAGGAGTGCTTAGCAAGGCAGGCTGGAGCAGACACCTCCTGTATTTCACTTGTGTGCTGACACACTCTGAGTAGTGCACTCCAGCCTCACTTGCTTTTTTGGTTCCTGAGGACAAGAAGGCTGAAGTTTCAGTGGCCTACTTCAGCCACTGGTGGGGAAATTTGCCTTCAGAGAGCAGTGGGTTCCTTCTCTCTTGTGTGAGAGGTGGAGTGAAAGGAAGGTGGTCTCCCTGTGGTAGAGGCATTGCCAAACTGGAGCAGAGGGCTCCCATGTTCCGTGCTAAGTGTGTGCATCCCTCCTGCTGCAGCCAGAGGTACTGCATGTGCAACCCAGATGTGGTCCAGCAGTTTCACAACCCGGACACCATCTTCATCTTGGCCTTTGCAATCATCCTCCTCAACACAGACATGTACAGCCCCAACATCAAGCCTGACAGGAAGATGATGCTGGAGGACTTCATTCGTAATCTGAGAGGTGAGGGTTCTGCCTTGATTTTTCTTTTTTGCCCTCTTGCTTTTCTAAATTCTGCCTAGACGAAGGCAGGAAAAACCTAGTGGAACTGCCTTTCTCCAGGTCTTCTGCTGCTTGCCTGTGAGCAAGACAAGGAAGACCCTTTAAGATGCCTTCTGGGGTGCCAGGGAAGAGAAATTCTAATTAACTTTGTTTTCTGCAGAAAGCTGTCCAGCCTTCTCAGAAACCAACCATTTTCCTTTGAGAGATGGCTTCATCTTTTAAGATATCTCATTGCTTGGAAACAGTCCATTGTATTACATTTTCCTATTGTTCAGCTCAATCCTTCTTAGACCCTGCTGGGTTGTGCTAAACAAGCCCTACTTGCTGCTTTGAATATATGAACACATTTTCCTTTTATCCAGGCTAAATCTTCCCCTTCTTAATTGCCTGCAATTACTTATAGTAACTGTAGGCGTGACAGAGTTCATGCATACATTACTTTTTTGCAATTTCTGATCCATCAGTTCCCCAAATCAATTTTCTTCTATTTTCAAGGTCGGTCCTATCCATCCTGGTAATATGTTGTTAAAAGCACTTTTTCAGATGTGGTCACAACATACTCATATATAGAGCTACTGCCTTGTTCTTATTTTCAGATCTACTAACTCAGCTCAGTATTGTTTGGCCTTTTTGACATCATGTCTAGACAAATTATTGTCTAATTTCCCAGCCATATTCATTCCTAGGTCATCCTAGGTCAGCCATTTTCAAAGTTTCTCTTACTGCACATCTGCAATTCATATAAAGCTCCCTCAAAGTTTTTCCAGCATAAATTCCTGTCTTTTCTGAAGATTTTGCATTTTTCTGGGTTCTTTTGACTTGTTTCTTTGTCCTGATTGCTGTTCAGCAAGTGTCATCTCAGCCTCCCACACCTTCCACAATTTGTCACCTGGTTCAGACTGGTATAATGTGACACTGAGGCCCTCTTTCAAGTTAATTCCACAGATACTGAATGGGTCTGCTACCTGCCATCACCCCCTTTAGTATTACAACTGATAGCACTAACAAAAGAGGGGTGTTATTTTAATGTTGACTTACTGTTAGAGTTGCTTAAAAAACTGTCAGTTCACACCACAATGGATTAAATCAGCATGAGGGTCACTCACCTCCAGTGTGCAACACACCCCAACTCATTAGAGCAAGTGAATGTCACCCCATCACAGACAAGCAGAGACAGTTCAGTCCAGACCCACCTGCAGCTTCAGCAGCCTGTGTTGGAAATGTTATTTGGGATACATTTGCAAGGATGTTGGTAAGGGAGCAGGACATCTCAGTGCCTTTCCATTTCTCAGCAGGTCCTCACCTGCATCACTCAGGATTGTTCATCTCAGACCAGGGAGCTGGAGGGAATGCAGAGAAAATCAATATAAAATGACTGGAGGAATTCAATTTGGAGGAAGGACTGGAAACTTGGTTTTCTGTGTTTGGCTCAGGGAAGGGTGGAAAAAACCTTTTCTGCCGGGCTCAGAAGGGTCAGACAGCAAAATCTGGAGAATTATCTAAGGAGATGTAAAAGAGGAAAGGGGCAGGGTCAAGGCAGAGATACCACAAACAGAATAGCAGGAAAGCATTATTCCTAGGAGACAATACAGAAGGAAAATGGTGGAGGTCACCAAGCAGACAAGGAGAGATGATGCTTGCATTGGCAGGAAGAGCTGCTGAATCCCATCATAGACCTTCTCCACATCTAGCACTTCTGATGATACAAAATCAATGCAGGGGTTACTGCTGAGTGGCCCAAGATAAATGAATGTGAAATTGTGGCTATAAAACCTTAGGGAACACATGGAAAGGAGCCACCATGCAGAGCAATGGAATAATGAAATCAACTGCATTGGCCTTAGAGATGTCAGTCTCTCCTGCTGGTGCATTAGATGCATTAGAGAGACAAAGGAGACAGCCTAAAGTGAAGTATTGCTATTCCCCTTCACTTCCCAGCACTGCACAGTGCAGAGGCAGGGACCTGCCAGGAACCACTGGTTCTTCCCTTTTGTTTTCTCTCTGGCTGGCCTGACAACATTTTCTGTGTTTGACAGGGGTGGACGACGGTGCTGACATCCCTCGGGAGCTGGTGGTGGGGATCTATGAGAGGATCCAGCAGAAAGAGCTAAAATCTAATGAGGACCATGTAACTTATGTCACCAAAGTGGAGAAGTCCATAGTTGGAATGAAAACGGTGAGCACCCATAACCCTCTGGCACTCACTCAGCCCCTCTGTCCCCCACCTCTCTCCCTGCCCTATTTTCTGTGTTTTTCCTCTATGCCTTTCTTCTCTTATGTAATACTTTCCTTGCTTGTCTCTACAAATGTACTCCTTTTGCTCCAAACTCTCTGTTCCCTGCTATCTCATTCTTTCCTAATTTTGAGGGATCTCCTTGGCCAGAGTTTAAGTATCTAGTGCTGTAATTGTTTGCCCATGAATTTTACTGCAGGTCCTGGCTGGCTCAACTGATAGATCTGCAGTGTTTCAAACTTTCAGGCCTTTTAAGGGTGTAGGAAGTAAAAGGCAAAGTGATAAAAAACAATTTTATCTATCTGTCTCTAATGAGTTCCCTAAAAATTGCTGGTATTAAGAGATCCCCAAAGCACAGATATCTTCTTTGGCAGTAACCAATCTGTAGTGCAAGAACATACATACTGTTTATCCAAAATAAGCAGAATGATTTCTCAAAGCTCAGAAAACCTGGGGTCCAGTGGGGTGAGAGAGGCTGAGCAGTTACCCAAGGATTGGAAGCCAGAGGTAGGATGTGTGAGCAAGAAGGTTGCATTTAGTCTGCCCTCTGATTTACCTGGATCACAAGACTTTCTCTGTTACTGCACCAAAACTGATGGCAAGGAGCGGTGGTGAGGAGGTGATTTGTCTGGGCAGAGTGGGTGGAACTGTGTCGCTGGGCAGGGTTGTGCAGTCTGAGGGTGGGGGAGACCCACAGTGGCCCCTCCCTGAGCCCCTGCCTGCCCCTGTGTGCTCCCTGCAGGTGCTGTCGGTGCCCCACCGCCGGCTGGTGTGCTGCAGCCGCCTCTTCGAAGTGACCGACGTGAACAAAGTGCAGAAGCAGGCAGCTCACCAAAGGGAAGTCTTCCTCTTCAATGACCTGCTGGTGGTGAGTGTGCTTTGGCAATTAGGCACTGCAGTAATAAAACCTGCCCTGGTTTCTGTAAGGAAGTTTGAAACCAGTCCACAACATCCATTTTTCCTCTAAGGACAGCTCCCATTTCATCAACACTGTAAGACACAGCTCTGGGCCCCTCACCATTAAAAACCTACTACATCTAGAACTCCAGTAAACCCTTGAAAAAACAAACTGTCACATCCCACAGCCATCCAAGCAATGTTATTGCTCTCTCTCATGCCTTTGCCAGCAGGGAGGTTCATTTCTGAAAGGGAGGTTCATTTCTTTGTCTATTTGTACTACAGTACACAGAGCCCTCTCATGCCCTTTAAATCTTTCCTACCAGACACTTTAAAATCACTGCCTTCTAGCAAGGAAAAGGCTGTAGCAGACTAGACAGCACTTATCAGACCCCCAAATGTGCAGAGCATTTTTGAAAGTGTCCTGCCCCAGCAATGGAATTGTGCAGGTACAGGAGAGCAGAGTTACACTGAGACTGAAAGGAGGCCAGACAAAATGGAAGGTTGCTGAATTTAATGGCAAAGTAAAACCATGGTGGCAGCAGATGCAAGGCTAAAGCCAAACCCTTTTGTAGAAGAAGAGGATAAGAGAGCTTTACTCAGCTTTTCCTCTGCAGCCACTTGCACAGTTATGAACCTGGGGAGAGGGTCTGCTCCTTGCTATCCTTCTTCTCCATGGGATAAACCAGATCCATAAGGACTAGTGCAGAGGCACAAGGGCAGCACAGCATTCTCATAGCTCTTGTTCCCAGCTCTAAAGTATTTATGATAGGCTTCCCTTTGCCTTTTGATCTGTTCCTTGGTGAAGAGAATTACCCTTTCAAAGTCAAAATGTGGTGACCAGGCACCTCTGGGAGAGAGCTGAGTGGGCCCAGGGCAATGCCTACAGGATTCCAGAAGTGTTGTTACAGGTGCAGCATTCCAGGCATCTCTCCTGCAAAGAGCCAGTCATTCAGCAAACATTGCTCCCATGTACACTTAGCAGAGCTTTTTTGCCTTGAGCAGTTTGCATTGTTCCTGCCTCACTGTTCCCCAGCACCAATGATGCTTCTCTCCCTCCAACAGATCCTCAAGCTTTGCCCGAAGAAGAAAAGCTCCTCAACATACACATTTTGCAAGTCAGTCGGCCTGCTAGGGATGCAGTTCCATCTCTTTGAGAATGAGTGTAAGTCCACTGCTCCTGGATTTCTGGAGGGGTTTGGCAGGGAAAAGGAGAAGGAGGGAGGGGGCTGTGTGAGTTTGCATTAGGAGAGAGATTGTGTCAGAGTTAAAAGTGGAGAAGAGAAATCTAAGGCTTATGCCAAGGAGATCACTCTTTAGGTACACTGTGATGAGGGGAAGCTCCTGGTACCTCTCTAGGTCTGAGCATCTGCAGAAGGGTCTCATTGAAGGATCTGGCTTGTTATGGTGGCAGGGACAGCACCAGTGGTGAAGACTGGGGGAAACAATCCCAGATACACCCCACTGAGCTCCCAGAAGCCAACTGTTGGTGCAGAATCTTGTTGACAGAGCTGCTGCTGCCAGCTTTAGCCACTCTCCCCTCATGCCCAAAGTCACAGCCCCCACTGCTGCCTTTGATGCTGACAGAGGCAGAGGTGCTGCTGCCACCTCCCTGCACAGTGCCATGCTGTGCTGAGAGCTTCCCAAGGCAGAGGCAGAGCCCTTGGAACAGTACCCACCAAAGCATGGCAGGAGGCCAGCCCTAGTCAGCCTGACCTTGATGGTCTGGGAAGAGAGCCATGATGTGTCATGATTGGGGCTGGTTGTGCCGTGCTGGAGTTCCAGAAACAGGCAGGCTCCCTGCTGGCACAGGCAGAGGGGCAGCAGTCCCAGGCAAGCATGGCTGATGCCCCTGGGATCAGGGGCACAAACCCCTAGGATCACAATGCTCTCCATTGTGAGCACACGGGGAACATGCTGCAAGGAAGGCAAAATGTAGCAGCACTGTGGCTATGCTAAGTTTTTTCTATCCCTCCTCGACTGGCAGTGTGAGTCAGTCTCCCAACACCCTGCTCTGCAGCATGCAGAGGCTCCCCCATCCCTGTGAACCAAAGGGCCATTCATACCTGAGCATCCCCAGGAGGCACCATCAGAGCTGGAATCAGCTTTCAGGGGTAGCCTGACTATCCTGGGAGTGCCCAAATCTTCTGGCAAAGGTGCCCCGTTGTGTATCCCCTGCAGAGACAGGAAAGCAAATGTCACAATGATCGTGTGATCTGAACAGATGAGAGAGATAGGGTGGGAAAAGAGCTTGGCACACAAATAGGGGGAGCAGAGGGCTGGCTGAAAATAACAGGTTTGGCCTTGACTTGTTTGGGAAAGACTGATAAAGGAAGGCTAATAAAGGAAGGCTACCCATGGAAGGCAGGCAGATGTAGGAGCACTGGAGGAGAAGTGAAAGTAGGGGAAGACAGAAATTAAATTTAGAGGAATGTGAAAGGAGAGGAGGAAAGGGATTGAAACCACGTGCCATTGAGCAAATGATAGAGGAAGTCAAAATTGTGGCAAGTTCTCTGCATTCTCGTGTTCTCCTGATTCTGTTGGCTGAATCTCCTGTCATCACCTCCCTGCACACAAACCTGATCTTTAAAACATGAGGCCTTTTGCTGTTTATTTTCACTCTCTGGGCATGGCCCCTCATTTACATTCCTGTGTGTTTTTCCTGTGAGGGGCACTAAGCAGAGACCTACAAATACACATCTTTCCCTTTACCATTCTCTCTGCAGAGTGCAATGAGCTCCCCACCTGCACTGTGCCAACACCCCTCCTGTGTTCTCTGCAGATGAAAGGAGAGACTGGGAACAAGTCCTGCCACTGTGGGTGCAATGGCTCTGACCCCAGAGGACAACCTCTCCTGCTGCATCTCCCACAGGAGAAAAAGTGTCATTGGCCTCATAAACACTGTTTACTCTTCCACAGACTGAGAAAGGCTTTACAGTCTTACCTCTGTGCCCAGGTTCCTAGACCCAGTGCTGCACTAAAAGTAACTAAGAGCTAGAGTTCTCTGGTTTTGGCAGCACTGTGGTGCTGGTGACACTTGCCTTGCTGCTGCAGCTTGGTCCTTCTGTTCTCTTGGAGGGCTGCAGTGCTGCAGGTTCCCACAGCTGGCAGTGTGACAAATTCTGGGTGTGCAATTCCATTGGACTTGTGCTGAAAACTCTTTGTCCTTCAGATGTACCAAAACAACCAACTAATCCATCAAAAATGCCTAGCACCTCTTAATTTTGTTGGCACATCTTTTTTTCAGATTACCCCCATGGCATTACACTGGTGACTCCAGTATCAGGCTCAGAGAAAAAACAGGTACTACACTTCTGTGCTCTGGGTGCTGAGGAAATGCAGAAGTTTGTGGAAGACCTGAAAGAGTCAATAGCAGAAGTGACAGAACTGGAACAGATACGAATTGAATGTAAGGGTCTCTCATGCAATTCACACTCCAATGCCATCACACTGCATGTGACTACAAGGCAAAAAGGGTAAAGGAAATGTTCTTCAGGAACAGGGGCAAAGAGGATGAGCAGCAGAAATCTGCACAGGATGTTCCTGGGTTCACCGAGAGGATGAAAAAGCACTCTGTGACCACAGGCCAGCAGGAGAAATGGAAGGACTTAACTACTTACAATACTATGGGACAGGGAGTGTGATACAGCAGCCTGGAATAGGGAGGCTTAGACTGTCACACACAGAAGATTCTTTTCTGTCCCATACTCCTTTGAGTATGCAAACATGATCTGTAAATAGCTGGGACAGATCTCATACCTTTAACAGAGCTGTCCTGAGGGCAAGCAGTCTGTCACTCCATGGCCTTACACAGACAAGGTGTCCATGGAGCCTTTGATGGCCTTTCCAGGTACAAACTGATGAGCCAAAGAAGCTCAGCTGCAGTGGTCCCCATCTGTGCAGCACTAGCCAACCCTGTATAAATGTAGGTCATATGTAGAAGGTCCTATAGGGATACCCAAGTTTCTTCACATATCAAATCCTCTCCAGTTTCTGTTTTCTCTTGGCTGTTCCTCTCTCTCTTCTTGACACTGACTCGTGATTTCCTTGCATTAATTCTCCTTGCTGACTTCCCATTTTGTTCCTGCAGTGTGCTGGTGACCTTCCCTCCTTCCCCCCTCATTTATTTCCATTTGTCTGTTTTGCAGGGGAGCTGGAGAAACAGCAAGGGACGAAGACTCTCTCCTTAAGGACCAATGGAGCCCAGATGGAGCTGCAGTCTAAGCAAGGCTCTCCAACAGGTAAGAGGGCACCCAGCACCCAACTTTTTTTGGTGTAGAAGTGCTGCCTTTGCAAATGTGTTCTCACTGGTGCCTGTGAGAATAACTGCAAAAAGAAGTGTTCAGTTTTGTGTCCTTTAGCCTTGGCCAAATTGTGAAAATACAAGAGCATATGCATTCTTCAAATACCCTAGAAAAACCCTTGAAGTCTCATTACCCAGTCTGTAGCTGTAATACCTGGTAAAGAGCTGTTTCTGATACAGCATGGGTAAATTCTGAAGAACCTGGCCCAATTTTCTTCCCTGAACTGATAAAACTTACCCCACTAAGCAGCTAACAGGTTGCAAGAGGGTCTGGATTGGCCTTGCACCTCTCCCTTTAACTCTCCAGCCCACAGTATGAGGGCCAGCTCTTGACTAGAGGGGCAGATCTCATGAGTGAGATATTTTGTTTTATTTCAAAGGGAAGAAGGATTTGGGGGAGAAGGTCTCGGACAGCACAGTGGAGGTAAGTAGAGTGCAGAGCAGCTGAGGTAAGTAATTCTCTCTCACTTCAGCACTTCTCACATTCTCTGTTGTTTCTTTTCTCAGGTTTTAATCAATGCCTCCCCAGCCAGACTGACAATTTTACCAATTTCCAGAGATACAATTAAAAGTTACTGCTAGGACGGGTAATACAACTTTCAAATCCAAACTAAACTTCAAAGCATTTTCAATCCTTTTCTATAACTGTAACATCCTTCATGGACCAAGCTCCCAAACGCTGTAGACTAACCCACCCCACTGCTTCTGGGGAGACTGAAAACCCCTCGAAGGACTTCCCTGACATGCTAACTCCATGCAGCATCACATGCAAATTCCCCACAGCCCAGCTTTCCTGCACTATCTCTGCAGCTCTGTCTCTCCATCCCCCTGAAGGGGATTAAGCATGGCCTTTGTACACCAGACTTTCCTTAGAGCTTCACCTTCCTAGGTAGGGAGCTTGGCTGTCCTGTGTACATCTATCTTTGCAGGAATGTCCAGCATCCAGTGGGTTGCCTGTTTCTTCACATATAGCCATACTCTCACAGCCTGTGAGGAAACAGGAAAATGCAATCTTCACACTGAAAATCTTATCAACTACTTCCTACTCTCTCTCTGTCTGAAATATCTCCGTTGTCCTGAACCTTCCCTTTTCCAGGGTAGTTCTCTCCCCTCTTGTCAGCATGTATTTACTTAAAGAATTCTGCTTCTCTGTGGGGAGTAGGTGCTGCTTCTTTTCCCTGGAGAGCACCCTATTTTGCTGCAGACACCCCCTTCCTGGGAAAGGTGCCTCTGCCAGCCATTTTCCTATTCCTGTTGGGAGAAGTGTCTCCCTGTGTAGAACAGCTTCCATGTATCCTAATGTCACTGGCACTTCATGACCTAGCATCCAGTTTTTCCTGTGGGATGTTCCAACACCTGAATAAATATTGACACCATATTATGTCCTGCTGTGTGGTGAGCCTGAGCAACCTCCACGTCTGGACAGGGACAGACAGCTCATCCTTGTTCCAGCATGGTGGGGAGCTTGATCACTTCACAGCTTCTCCTTCCCAGTTGCTGGTGCAGCTGCTGACTCTGCCAGACCCTCAGGGCAGACCCACTGTCCCCCCTGTACCCCTGCCTGGCTGGAAGTGCCACGCCAACCTGGGAGCATTGTTTCCTACCCAGGGCTTGTCACCTGGTCAACATTCTGTTTTAAACCAGCAACTTAGCTCTGCTTTGGGGTCTCCATCAGCCCATGTCCTTGCCAGGAGGAACTGTAACCTCATCCATCATTTGGGAAGCATTATTTCCCTGCTGCACTTCTCCTGCTAGGGACCTCCCATCCAGGCCAGCTCGTCCTTTTCAGACTGGTCTCAGTGAGCTCCCTTATTTGATTCCATTATCAGCATCTCAATGTGGAAACCCTGATGACCTCCTGCTTCCCTTCCTGCTTTCAGCTGACCAAGTATTACTCTGCCAGCAGAGAGCATTTCCATTTCTCTGAGATTATCTAATCTGCTGCCATTTCATCATGAATTTCTTTTATCATTGTATGAGCTAGATGGGCACTTTTTGTTTCTTCTATTTTTTTTAAATCATTTCCTTTCACTGACAAACCACCAAATGGAGCAGAGGGAGCTGCCTTTTGCTAGACTATGTCAGGTTTCTGCTTTTTCCTTTGTAAACAGATTAGCCAGTCATGTGGTGTACCTTCCTACTTAGAAAGGCAGGGAGCTGGGAAAGGCTTGAGTTTCTCTGTCGCTCTCTATCTCAGATTCAGCTGCTGTCATTTTGCTGAAACATACAGCCTCGATTATCTGAAACCTTGTGGTCTGGTCCCCCTCTCCTTTTTGCTGGTGGGGACAAAGTCATGACTTCAAGGTCTGTTCATTTCCATGAGAATTCATGGATACTTCCACTCTTAGAATTGATGTGCGTTCCCTGTGCTGTTTGGATAATCAAAGCTGCACTGCATTTGGGAACGCCGGCTCTGCTGCCTTTGACGTGATGGAAAGGACAGGGACACTTAGGCTGGATGGGGACAATGGGGCTGTTGAGGGGGACTGTGCAGCCAGGGTCATACCTGTTCTGGTTTTTTGAGGGAGGGAGGGTTGAATGCATGTGAAGTCGTCTGGTGGTGGGGGTTCAGGGCAGCCAGTAGCAGCGGATGGGAAAAGTCTTGTAACATTTAATGCTTCTTTGGCTGTTTCTAAACTAGGTGTCAATTCACAACAGGCTTCAAACGTACCAGCACAACTCCGCCCTGGGGCCCGAGAGTGGAATGCAGCCCAGCATGCGTCTTAACATGCCACGGGAGCAGCTGGAGACAGCACTGGTGCCCTCGCACCCCGCCTCGGCGGGGACACTTGTACAGTGCCAGCAGATTGTCAAAGTCATTGTCTTGGACAAGCCGTGCCTGGCTCGGATGGAGCCGGCCCTCAACCAGACTCTGACACGCTACGTCACCTCCGACTCCTGCACCTCCACGCCCTGGCGCGGTGTGGGCAGTGGGCTCCCTGGGACCCCCATGAAGCTGGTCCATCAGCCTCCCCTGCCACCTCCACCCCCTCCCTACAACCACCCCCACCAGTACTGCCCCCCCAGCTCGCTGCTTCAGAGGCGCAGGTATTCCAGTGGCTCTCGCAGCCTCGTGTAGCCACACCACCAGCACCAAACAGCACAGACTTCCTCGCTTCCCTTCCCCACCATCTCCCAGGGACCCTTTCTGCCTACAGAGATCTAGTTTGTGATTTATTTTTTAGTAAAACAAGAACAAAAGGAAAAAAAAAAAAAGCCAACTGACCTAACTCTTACCCTGTCTCCCCTCAAGATGATGCTATTTGTGAGGAGCTGTCTGTAGAAACTGCCAACCTACATGCTCACACATCCTCACACCCTGCCAGCCCAGCTGGCCCCTGTGCTCGTGTTGTCCCCATGTAGCACTTTGCTGCCCTGTTCCTCAGAGGCTTGATGACCTGCTGCTTTCTAGGCACCGTGTCTTCCGTTTCCTACTCCTCACCTTCCTCTCCTGCCTTGCATTTACCTGGCCATAGGTTTGTACCCACCCAGCCTCAGAGAGAAATGGACTCACCTGTGCCATGCCTCGGGGCATTCCTGGGGGTGGAGCTCTCCCTGCCACCTGCTAAGCTGGAGTGAGAACTTGCACCACTTGCCACGCTTCCTCCTCATCGCTCTCCAAGTATTATCTCCTTGCAGCAACCGGCTCCAAATGGAGGAGTGCACGAGTGGGGGAGAGCTTGAGAGGAGGAGAGACTGTCCTGAGCTGCAGTACAAGTACATGAAGATGGCCTCACTGAACACCAAAACTTTTTCTGTTGTTATGTTGGAGCATTGTACCAGAGACCTCTGCTGAGACCACGTGTAAATACACCTGTACGGTAGCACATGTATGCGCATGCTTGCTAAGGAAACACCAAGCAGCTCTGAGGGGGCAGAAGGGAGGGCTGCAGTCCAGGCATCTTCCTGGAATGGATGTGTGCTTTTCCAAAGAGACAGCACCGAGAGGTACCCTCCCACCTCACCACACACACACACACACATACACACATAGGAGATTGTCTTGTCTAAAACAGACCCACCTCTGCTTTCCTTCTTCTGGCTGGTTTTGTGTTTCCTGCCCACCTGCATTTTTGTATTCTGAAAGCAAAGTTGAGTGTTATGTTCACCTTTTGGGGTGGGTATTCTGTTCACTTGGGCTCTTCCACCTGTGTTAGAGGGAAGGGACTTTTTGGAGACCACTCACATGAGGTCCCATCTGTATCTCTTACCTGTATCTCTTACCTGTATCTCTTACCCCTGTATTCTTACCTCCATCAGCCCTTCCTATAGGAAAGCTGCCCAGATACCAGACTCCAAGGTCTCTTCTCTCTCCCTCTCTATCCCAGCTTCAAAGTGAGAGGAGGGGCAGATCCTGAGATAGAGATGACAGCTCAGCTCTTCTGCTTTACTGGGGACATTGATGTGAAGGAAGACAGCATTAAAAATGGGCTGTGGAGGTATTTTTAGAAAAAAAAAATCTCTGTGCAGTAGGGAGGGGAAGGTATTAATTAGCTTAAAGGCTTTGGTCTCACTCACTCATTCTATCTCCCTTCGAGGTTTAAGAAGATCAACTTTAGGATTCTAAAATAGGACAGAATGCCTTTTAGGGCCTTTATTTTTATTTTATTTTATGAGGGAAAGACTGAAGTGCTCTTCCTTCCTGTGCAAGGCTAAGACATGAGCAGTGAGTGCTGCTGATGTAATGGTAGGGTAAGGAAAGGCAGGAGTTGTTGCCAGTGGTGGGGATGTGCAGAACGTCAGGACAAGGGGGACAGCAAAGACAGATGCAGAAAACTTCTTTTAACCTTGTGGGGTAAAAGCCACACAGCAATTTCCTTAGGGATTGTGCCAGTGTGCTGATCTCTGGGGCCATTGCCAGTGACAAAAGCCACAGGGCATCAGGGATGGGCTTGGCTCCCCTCAGTGCTCCCTGGATGCTTGCTGGCTGTGCTGGAATGTTCAGGGAGAGATTTCACACATCTGACCTGGGCAGAAGCCCAGCTGGAGTTAGGGAAACAGACAGGGGCTGGAGTGACAGGTCTCCTGCACTTAGCCAGCCCTCCAGGGCAGGAGCCTGCTCACTTCCAGGTCCCCCTCAGTCTGAGCATGACCCATGGACCCAGCTGTGCCAAGAGTTCTGACTAGTTTGCTCAGCTGGGCACCAGGCTGCCACTTCTGTCTGCAGTAGCAAATGTACCGACTGTGAGCCCACAAGCAGAGCCTCAGGGAAGACTGCAGAAGCAGATGACAGAAAAGATTGTAAGAAAACCCTGACTAGAAGCCCAGTCTCCCTCCAGAGCAGAGAAGCTCACTCCTAGCCAGCCCCCCAGGGCAGTTTGGATGCTCTGCATCCTGAACTGGGTGCTGGGAGAGGTCCTCACCCCTGGCCAGGGCTCAGCCCCTCACCCCCCAGCCAGCTGTGAGGCACAGCTGGCCTGGTCTGCTGCTGACTCCCTTCAGGGTGACACCCTGCTGCCTCACAGCAGCCAGAACCTCATCTGAGCTGCCCATGGCTTCCCAAGAGAGCATGTGTGGCATCTGCCATTTTCTGGTCATGCAGTGTGTGGCTGCTGTTGTTTTTGCTCACTGCTGCAGTGGAATGGGTGTCCAGGAGGCACTGGCACTGTCCCCCCTTCCCAGTAGTTATTTCACTGTCTGAGAGGAATGGCAGCACTAGTTCAGGATTGGTTGTTTTTTTTTTTTCCAGAGTGCAGTGTGCCAATGAAGCTCTGTGTGTGTGTGTTAAAATAAATAAATTAGATTTTACTTGACATTTAACACAAAGTGACAACAGCAAAAAACCTTAAGATACTTGAGGAAATAATTTTTCTAGATAAAATATTTATAACAATGCCTACGAAGTTCCTACACAAGATGTTTGCTGCTTTAATAATTGATTGGGAGAGCTACAAGGATCTAAAGAGGAAATAAAGAAACTGCTTAAGACTCCCTTCTCCATGCTGGATGAAGGGTAGAAGTGAGTGAACTGAAGTGCTGAGGTACCTGAGGCAAAGTATTCTCTCAGGGCAAGCTGGTTCTGTTTCCCTGACCTTGCAAAGGCTACTGCTGGCCTTGAGCTTTGGACAGAGAAGCAAATGTAGATAACTCTTCTGTCTTCTAGCCTGCTGGCTACCATGTGTTCTGCTGGGTTTAGCTGGAGAGGCACAAAACTGCTCTGTTCCAGCTTGTCATGGAACAGGGGGGTCAAAATTCCACTGTGGAGCCGAGCCCTTTGGACATCACTTCTAAATACGGATTTTCTGTCTTCTAGCCTGCTGGCTACCATGTGTTCTGCTGGGTTTAGCTGGAGAGGCACAAAACTGCTCTGTTCCAGCTTGTCATGGAACAGGGGGGTCAAAATTCCACTGTGGAGCCAAGCCCTTTGGACATCACTTCAAAATACAGATTTTCTTTTTTTTTTTTTGAAGGCTGGTCTTGAAGGATGACAAGCACTTTAAAAGATATCTGCACCTCATCTGATCTATTGTATTGTCTGCTCCTGCAGTCCTCCCACACAGTGTAGCCCTACAGCTGTGAGCAGACAGACTGACAGGGTGCAGGCTAGAAGGGGCATCTCAGTGACACCCTAGTGAAGGACAAAATGTGTGCCACAGCTCACCTGGAGGGACCAGCCCAAAGGAAAATCACCAGCTCTTGACAGCAGGGATTCTGATCATGAACCTAGCACAATCTTTCAGGTGGAGGAGTCAGGCAGGGAGATGCTGCAGAGATTAGCTCAACCCAAATGAACCAGTGTCTTTTTGCTGCCAAATCCATGCCCTTCTATATTAAAAAGGAGTAGGGGGGAGAGAGAAAACAGAAACCTAGTGAAAAGTGTTGTGCAGTGAGTGTTGGGTAGTCAGTGGCCAAATGAGAAGGTGGCTTTGCTGAACAGTAGGAGAGACTGAGCTGTGTTACATCAGGCTCTATCCTGATGCTTGCTCATGCTAGTGCAGGCCCAGTGAAATGAATCTGTTTGCACCAGTAGCAAAGGGATGGAAAATGTGACAGGAGAATTGAGCCTTGCAAACAATTTGGGTTTAATGCAGTGCTTTTCCGCTGCCACAGTAATTTTTAATGCCATAGTCTTGGCTGCTGGGTTAGCAACACTTTGTGCTTGCACAAGGCTTTCAAAGCATCCCACTGTTTGCATTTCCTCTCCTTCCTGTAGATGAAAGGTGAGGGTATGGTCCACAACCTGAATTTCATCAATATTCATACTGAAAGGTACCATCAGATTTGGATGCATTTGAGGGCCTCCAAGCCATAAGGGTTTGAGTTTTGTTACCTGTTTCTCAGAAGGCTCAACCTGCAACTATGTGCACATGTTTCTGAGGTTTCCAAAACCAATCTGAGCCCTAAACCAAGGGTGATGCTGCTTGGCAGAGTCTCTGCTTTGAAATGCAAGTTGCTGAGCAAACTCCCCCCGTCTCCCACTCCACCAGCTGCCTCACTGTGCTAGTGTAGGCTCCAAGGACTGCCGGCAGTGTTTTGTGAGCTAGAGCTGTCCTTGTCCTGCCCTCTCCTTCGCAGCCATGCCTGGGACAGCAGCTTTGAAGTCACCCAGCTCTTCAACACTAGTCACAACCCCATCTGAATGTGTCTTTTTAAAATCTAACAACAGAAGTGTTACCTATGCGTAGGCTTTTGAAAGCACCTGTCTATCTGTACCTGTCTCCTGCTGTAAATATCACCAACAAAAGCTTCCTTTGGGAAAAGTGGTGTGGTCACACCTAGCAAAGAGTCCAAATGGCTAATATTTTGTAACAAAAATAACAAAAATAGATCAGAGGTATTTTATCTGTTCAATCAATAGAGTTTTAGAAATTATATTGAGATAATGTCACTTGTGCTCCAATGTCTTCTTTGCCTCAGCCCCTGCCCCGGTGTCCCTGGGCTCCAGCAGTGTGTGCAGGCACACAAGCACACACCAAGGGGTGCTCCATGGAGTGCTGAGCATCCTGGGCTCCTGCTGGCCTCAGGGGCAGCCTGCTCTGGCTACTGCTGTTTTCCTGTCAAAAGCAGCAGGAGCTAGTTCAGTGCTCAGGCTCTCTGAGGATCAGATCCAGAGGAAAACAGGAAGCAATAAACTTGTTCAGGAGGTGGCAACTTAACTGTGAAATTCACCCCTACAGGGAGGTGGAGAGGAAGATGGTGAGGGGGAAGGCAGAGCCCTTCTGTGCCACAGCTCATTGCTGTCCATCTTGCTGGATGCTCTCGGCTGTGCAGGCTGCTCCTCTGGGGAGGGAGGCCCACACAGCCCTGCAGAGCACTCGCTGCTGCCTGTGAGCTGTGGGACATGTGGCCACACAGGAACCCGTGCACCAGAGAGCAGCACACACCGTGGGGCAGTGCTCACACCACACAGGACTGCACCTCAGAGAGCATGCAGGTACCTCCACAGAACGTGCTGGGCAAAACTATGGGGCACAGGCACCATGGACTGCCTGAGCAGGAGAGCTTTGCTGGCAGCAACGTCACCATTGCAGCACATCTCACCAGCTACACTGGCTCAGGCTTGGGGAACATTTGGATGGGAGACACGTAAGGAAAATTACATTTCCTGTGCGGATCAGATATAAGTGCATATTTACACAAAGCATAACCCCAAGGTTAATGAAGCTGACCTTTGAGAGAGAATCAAGCACGTGCACGCAAAGCGAGCTCTGCTCTGCAATGAGTGGGGGAAAGCAAGCTACATCTCTGCAGCTGGATCCAAGGGATGCTGGATTCAGATTGCACCTGCTAAAAAAAACCTGTCTATAGGTTGCAAATTCTTTGCTGGTTTCAAAGAATCCCTTGGATCCCCAGGCCCACCATGAAATACTTGGGAAGACATAAATCCCTCCCAGAAACAGACAGGATATTTCCCAGGGATTCAGAGGCTTCCATTTATGTTTTTGTGTGCCATGGCTATATTATAAATCAGCCCATCCCAAACAGGCATTTTCTAAGATGTTTTGAAACAGAAGATTATTAAAGTTCCTGGCTGATGTTCAGATCACACACCTGGCTGTAAAGTAAAGATGAAAGCAATAAAACCAGATTGTCTATATGTGAAATACTCCTCACTTGCTCCAATGTACAGATACTATTATTAATCAGAAGATGGCAAGTGTCTCTGAGAAGGATACTATATAGACATATATAGGTAGTGTTGGTATAGAGGGTTACAACCCAAAAAGCAAATACCACAACTGTCACAGTGCATCTGTACCCTGTTATATCTATACAGCATCCATTATGTGCAATAACTGATGCATAGTGTGGTTGGAATTGATCAAAATACACCTCTCTTTTCCACAGAGAATCTCGAGATGCAATTTTTCTCTGAAACTTTTCAGATGGATTTCTAATTAAGCACATCCCTCAAATGCCTTGCTGTAGGTGGGCTCTATCCACCCCATCAAGCAAAAAGCAGACTCACCACTGAGCTCAGCATTTCACAGCCTGCTGCCTCCTGCTTTGAAGGTGCTGCCTCGGGGGTCAGAGACCCATCCTGATGCCCACACACAGAGGGAGTCCTCCAGGAGCAGGAGGTGGCAGGAAGGTCACCACAGACCTAGAGCTGCCACTGCCTGCAGTATCAGTGTTGTGTGAAGGTCATTGTGGGTCCCTTTGCACCTCACCTGGGGTGCTCTGGGAAGATTGTGCTGAAAGGGGGTGCCTGGGGCACAGCTGATCAGAGTCAGGCTCCAGCATTCCCCACAGAGTGAGGTTTCTTGTCATCACCAGCTGCTGGGGAAGAGGTGCCCCTCTGTAAAGTCACTGCCCAGATCCTTAATTCAGCAACCTGGAGTCATGCCCATATACCTGCCTGACCTGGGAAAGGTGGCTGAAAATAAGCAGGTGCCTCAAGGATGATGATGCATGGTTAGCAGAGCTGTGGGCTTTAACCAGTTTAGGAGCTCTGTCACACTTGGTGGGTCTTGAAGCAACTTTTCTGCAGTTAACAAGTGCAACTGAAGTTAAAAGCTGGCTGAGGAGCTGTTTTCTATCTTAAACCATACAATCCATGAGCTGGGAATGTTCTTAGTAAGGCAGGATCATATTTTATACAGCACCCATACTCCAGCCTTGGGATCTTACAGTTTGGCACAGTTATCAATGAACTTCTTGAAAACAAGGATGCTGTCTTCCTAATCCTTCCTCCTCATTAAGGTAGGGTGTCCCAAACAACATCAAGTTCATTAAAAAATAACTAACTAACTAACTAACTAACTAACTAACTAACTAACTAACTAACAAGAAACAACACAAAGAACAGAAGGATCTTCTTCCACAGGAGTGTAGGACCAAGGCTGTAGCAGTAAAAGCACTTAGAGTGATACATACCCATCCTGATATTCTATGTACACCTTTCTATTCCCTCCCATTATGGAAGACTTGACTTTTCAGTACATTTTCTTTATCCTGTGGATTAATCCCAGCCAGTAAGTAAATACCTTGCAGCTGCTTGCTCTCTTCCCCTTCCACCCTTGGTGGAATAGGGATGAGATCAGAAAAAGGTAAAACTTGTGGGTTGAGATAAGAATTGTTTAATAACAACAACAAGAACAACAATAATAACAATGAAAATGAGGGAAAGATGCACATTGCAATTGTTCACCCCCTACTGACCAATGCCCAGCCTATCCCCCAGCAATGATCAGCAGCTCCCAGCCAGCTCCCCCCAGTTTATGTATGGCACATGAAGTGCTGTGGTGTGGAAAATCCCTTTGGGCAGTTCAGGTCAGCTGCCCACGCTCTCTCCCAGCTTCTTGTGCTTCTCCTCACTGGCAGAGAATGGGACTCTTAATTTAGGGTAAGCACTACTTAGCAACAACTAAAACATCAGGGTGTTATCAACATTATTCTCATGCTAAATCCAAACCACAGCACTCTATGAGGTCATATGAAGCAGGGCAGAATCATCTTCCCTTTCTAAAGGGAAAGGAAAGAATCCATCTCCTGGGATCTGACCTCAGCCTTCAATCTCAGCTCACAGCTTCTGTCATCTCTAGTGAAAAGGACAACCCATCCAGCAGCTCAGGACATGTAGCCAGGAAAGAAATGTGCAAGGGAAAAGCCAGAGCCCTATTTAAATAGCTTGTTCAAAGATAAAACCCCAGCCATCTGTCAACTTGCCCTAGAAGAGGCATGGCTATAATAATTAGCAGAGGGAAAGGCTGCAGAGATGCTAGTGAAAAAAACAGCAGTTTGCTAACATTTTATACAGGTCTGCCATGAATGCAGTG